ATATATATATATATTGTTTATATTTATATAAACGGCCGGTATATATATATATATATATAAACGAATATATCGGGCCTTGGAAATTAATCAATAAAAACATAGATGAAAGAATAATCATGGAATGCACTTTTGGCATCAATTTAGGCAGGCTGCACTAGCAGATTGCAGTTCCATATGCAACGATGTTATTCCAATACGATTTGTATGTATGCAAAACAGAAGAGGACCTTGAGGCACTCCTGGCTGAAAATCATCTAATGAACTCATTCTTCTGTTTGCTCTGATTCCGAGTTTTCTCTCTGTCAAATAACAGTGCAGACACACAATAGAAGTGTATTGTACAGATTATATTTATGAAAGAGACAAATAATAACAAAAGTAATTATTGCTTTTTTAGACTGAAACCTCTATAGAAATGGGCGGAACTATACTAACCGAGAGAGATGACCATCAGAATAGCAGGCACACCAAATGCAAGTGGGAAGCAGCTATCTCGACCATTGCAGGGAATTGCACGAAGATACGGGGTAATTGCAGTTGATAGTACTGAGCCAGCGTTAATACACATATAGAAAATGGAAAAAAACTGCTCGAGGTAGAGCTCCTGACCGCGTACGAATTGGTCACCGCCAAACGCAGCAACACATGGTTTAATTCCTCCGGTTCCTATCGCAATTAGGCCTAGACCTAATAGAGAGAATATGCTGGGAAAAGGACAAATAAAAAGGTGACACAGAGAGAAAGTTACTACTTTTTCTGAAATGCAGGTTTTAGATTATTACAGTTGCTATATTATTATTAGAACTTCTTTAGCCTACCGTTTACACAACACTGGAGCGTCCAAGGCAGAAACATAAAGCACTATTTTTATTCTAGTACAGAAATAGAAGGTGGGTACTATTACTTTCTAAAATTAAACGTTTTTCATGAATGCAGTTGTACAACAGGCGGCACCTCTGATAATTTGGAGACCTTCTTTTATGCCTAGACATTTTGTAATTATCTTTTTAACGCTAATCGTTTACGCCAGCTGACGGCAAGTATAACTGTACGGTTGAAAATATTAGAACCAATTTTTTCTACGATAATCGGCTATTGTAATTCATAGGTTGGGAACAATGCTCTGAATTAAAAAATTCAAATGGCTGTAGATAGTCTCATGAGGATATGGCAACCCATAGTGACTATTCGACTAGTTCTAGCAGAACAGATCGGAACTACGCCTACCGGGGCTACTGGTTCTGTCCTAAATTGTTATTAGCGTATGGGGCGCAGCCTATCGTAAGCTGTGATGCTTTCCTCTCGAGCCAATCAATACAGATCATCCTCCCGACTCAGCTGGAGTCAATAAAAAATTACGGCCAAAAAAACATAAAGGCCATTACAACGGCGGCAAAAATAGTCTATCTTATCTTAATGCCATTTGTTCTTATCGTCAAAACATGGCGGCCTTGCGTGATGAGGGACTTACATTTGGGTTTCGAGACCAAGATTGAAGGATCCAATAGATAAAACTGCATTCCCAATCGCATAGATGATTGAAATATAGAAAATTGTTCTGAAAATAACACAGGGATAAAATTCTTCAAAAATCTTTGCACCAATGTTTGTCAACGTTTTCTCCTACTTTTCTTTCTAATTAACGTCATGCCCTTCGTGAAATGAGAATTGATCGAAAAGATATTGCCCAGAGAGATAATTGGAGCATTTCCTCCCTCTGAACCGATTATTATAGGTAGAGTCATTACCTCATGAACAGCTGAAAACTACACCATATAGATCACGCTCTATTCGACTTCGAAAATTTTGCCGAACAGGGCAAGTGCTTTGTCTGTACTTCAAATAGTGCTACATTTTGATCATCTCTGAGATATATTGAGCCACAATTTTTGCAAAAGTGCACACTTGCGAAAAAGTTCATACTATTTGTGAGTTGTTTTCTATTTTAAAACGTTTACGATATTCAGCTTTAAAAGGGCAAAATTTGCTACAAAAGTTCCTTGACTGTCACAGGTTAACTGTCTGAGCTAAATTCTAAAATTTTGTGGTATTATTCGATCGTTGATGCACAAAATACGTTGATAGCGGCATTTAAAATACACCGAATCTACTCTCAGCCTTATTGGAAAATCTAGCTTAGATATTCTATCTAATTTTTCATAGTGAGCATTATAGGCGTATTGTCATACATTACCACCCGCTGTTAAATGTGATCTGATGCCTGGCATGGGCCCATCCGACTAGAAAACATCACATTACTTCCATATCCTACCTTTGCCCCCAGCAGTTATTATGTGCTATATTGTCGTCATAACGCAAAGTACCTGATACGATACACGATTACCGTTGTTACGTATGTCCAGCGGATTCTGTAACAGGCACCTATAATATGCCGCCTGAAAACGCCCCATGTTAAGGATATAAGGATCGCAGTATCTACCCAATCGTAGCCATTCACCAACAGCAAAATGTACCTAGCTATTCTTATCCAAATTAAAAGAAATCGCTATGCTAGAAAAACAAATTCGGCTCAATTTAAAGAGATCCCAACTTTCCATTGAGCTTTTCTATTACCCAGAGTTCTAAGTTAGTTGACCATATTTCCACTGTATTTACAGAACTTATAGCTAGCTTGTCGTGTGGTATTCGCGTCTCGATTCGAACAGTATCGAGATGTATTTTTCTTTCTTTTTTAAAAGATATCCACACGCCGACAGGGAGAGACAGATGACTTATGTATGCATGTATACGCCTGTCGTGACGTGCACGCACGCTGCGATCTGACGCATAACATACCAGTTAAGGCTGCAGTGACTAATGATTTCTTGAAGCGTTCGCGCTTTGTAAACAATTTCCAGTCCCAAATAATTACCTCCTGTACATTACTCTAACGATAACCGAATCTGAATGTCTACAAACCCAGATGATAGATCAATTTGTGCCCTGCAGGATTTTGTAAATGTTCATAAAACATTTCGAAGACAATAGTCCTCAACTGATCCGTAGCAACTAAAAAGAGTCAGAAACTAAAAAGAGTAAAGAACAGAGTAGGGTTATAGCCTTACGCTTATGTATGTCTGGGAGCCCAGAGAGGGTATAAACAATGGGATCGATTTTACTTGATTTGTTCAACAATATCGGCATCACAGATAAGCGCTAAGCTCTGATAGTTTGAACAGTGGTTTTTCTTCTTTGGAACCTCGTTTATGCACAGCGTGTTACGCGTATTTCCCTACACTACGAATGGAACTTTAGCGTATCGCAGTGTTTGTAGACTGCTTACGTATCTTAGCGTAGACAAAAAAAAAATCGTACTGCCTATGTGGGCACTGTTGATAAGTTGTGTGGTGTCTACTGAAAGATCTGACAATTCGCGTTTTCTGTTAGACCAAAGACGTATGAATCGTACGTTGCGTAACGTACAACAGAGGTTCGTTGCTCACAGACATCTATGTACAGTGCGGTGCTGTTTTTGTGTACTGATTCCAAAACGGATATTATTTCATATAGTGTACATATATGATACTTCAAACATTATCTATCTATCTATATAATATATTACAACATAAAAAATGAACCGAAGCCGTATGTCTGTTAATCTAGAATACATCACTAAAGATCCCTTTATGCTAGAGCAAGATTTTCTAAAAGACATATATAGGAACATCACGCAGAACGAGAACATGTGTACCTCTGAATCAAGTATATTATTTATGAAACAGGAAGAAAAACAGGGCAGGTAGCTGTTAACAGCTATTGTAGGTCATATTGAGTGTGTAAAAGTTTACAACGTGGGAAACGCTTGAGGTAGTTAAGGATTTTAAAAATCGTTATTAAAGGTGCCTAAATGTTGTGGGTGAAAAAAAGCGTCGCGACACTAGAAAGCTTACGTTTTTGTGTTTTTTTTTATGAAGATAATAAGTTGCTGTTTTATGTGAGGTATTATTCTGCATGAATATGAAATCACCTTACACATTACGTAGCCCGAATGGTTTCCATCGTCGGGAATACTTAAGTTGCATACTAAATCGGCCCCGAACGAAATTCAGAGACGAACTTAATGGCTGTGTAATAATAGTCAGGAAGCAAAGTAGAAAAAAAAAAAGCTCGGAGATCAACCTATGACGACTTAAAACAAGTTCGTTTTGCCTCGACATCGCTTAGTCAATGCTGAATGTGACAGAGGTTTACACGTCAATGTATTATATCCCTGACCCAATGACAGGTTATATGCACACCAATTTAGAGGCCCCTACATATGGAGAACTAAGTAGAAACTAATCCAGTGGCTTTGTTTTAGATCGAGTAAAGAAGATAGATCACAATTGCCATTCGTGGCGATTAGTATACGACGAGCTACAAAAAGCTGTTCCGGGTCTGCAACAATGTTAATGTAAAGAAGGTGCTGATGTTTCGTTTCTGTGAAACAAATAGAAGGACGAGTCCGCGTTGTATAATAAGTCGATCAGTGACGCCTTAGCCCCGCATGGTCAAAGAAAGCGACAATCTTCCAGCAGTAAACACGTACGAAATTGGAAAAACAAGTGTACCTCAAAAAAGTGGGAACCGTAATGAGCATTTTATAACAGATTCAATTAACACAAAGTATATGTAATCCAACTTGTTTAAAAGTAACGTTCTTCAAAATTGGCGAATATACAATGTACAACGATGCCCCAAAAAGTGCAAAAAAGATTTTACGCATTTCACTCGTTACGTAAAAGGTCTGTTATGAGAAAATTGGGTCCTCCCCTCCCTCAGCAAAAACAGCCACTCTAGAATGTCGTCCTTGGTGCTTTTTTTTTTACAAACTTGTACATATGTGCGGAGTATGTTAGATCTTAGGGCTACATACAGAATGCTTACCTGACTCGCCAGCCGTCTGACGTAATGATGTCTAACGGCGACTCCTAGCGTAACGTTGGCGGCGTTTAAATTATATAATTCGTTCTTATGAATTTTAGCTGTGTTTGTTTCTGAACTGCCGTATATCGAGGCATAGAATCACGCTAATCGAAAATTTGCATGTATCGACATTATCAAAGCGAAAAAGTTTTTTCCTAACTAATACCAAGTGTTATTATAAAACGGTATTGCAACTTCAATCGTCCAAATAATTACCCTTACGATCCAGAGGCGTTTACAACTTACCATGCATTATTTTGAGGCGGAACTATTACTTTTTTAATTCTGAAAGTTAAAAACTCTGTTTAAAAACTACTTAACTTCCGGCAATCGCGTTTAATCAGCAGATCATTACATCGGCCTAAAAAAGTAGTAATCTGAGGAAGTTAAGATGAGGAATTGCCTTGAAGAAAAACTTCACATCAGTTCTCCGCACCGTTAGAACCATACAAGGACATGATGAACCATGCATACATGAACCATGATCAAGCAGAATAACTTTATGGCTTTACTTAGAGGCATGAAATATTTTCCAAGGAATTGCTCAATTTGAATGAACTGAAAAGTTAAAAACATAAAGTTAAGCCGGCAACAAATGTACGACAAAGCTTTTAATATAGTTTCTATATTTTCAAACGCAGAAAAAACCGTCTTTTAGTGAATGCTTTTCAAAATATAGCTAGTTGTCTAAGATAAATCTGTGCTATTTTAAGCTAAAGCTGGTACCGAAAACACGCATCGCGTTATCATAGACACTTTTATGCAAAAGCTACTTCTTAGCAACCGACTTTGTAAGCAGAGCCCGGAACGCTATTGTATTTATGCTCTTATAAGTAAGTTCATAAAAAAAAACTTAGTTTTGAGCTCTTTTACCTTTTTTTTTTTTGCTTTGTTTTGTACTCCCATACTAATTGGCTTAACAGCCTGTATTGGAAATGGAATAGGATACCCGCTACTGATTCTATGTTTGATTGTCTATATTATAGGAGTGCCCGTAGTCGTCATAAGCTAGACCAAATAATTAATAAAAATTCGCGAAACGCATAATGCGGTATCGTCACTAGAACTCCTAAATGTAGACTAGTGGCTTAAACGCAAAAGACTCGAAAACGCCGTATTTATAGGCGATTCAAGATAACCAATTGTGGATACTTTGAAAGATTCGGTAATTTCGGTATTTTACATAGCTCCGGTAACACCGGAAGGTGCCTTAGTGAAGATCGCATATAAACGGATGAGTTTACTCTACTGGGCGAAAGATGATCATGATCCAAACGTAGGTGCGTTGAGTTTTCAGTAGTCGTCCCACATCAATGGATTAGACTATCATACGATAAACTTACTTAAATTTTCCCAGCCAAGAGTCAGCGATGATTGCCCCAAGTAAAGGTGTGAAGTAGCAAGCCATGGTAAAGGCATGGTATATCGATTTGGTATCCTCTTCGCTGTACAGCAGTATACTGGACAGGTATATGACAAGAACGGCTAAAAATCAACAGACAACAGGAAGTCAGATTTCGTGCTGGTTCCAATCCATGTATAGCTACATAATAACTTTTATATTTTTTTCTAAAAATATGCCGTGTCACATTTAGCGCATGGGACAGGGATAAAGTATCTATGATGTGGCGCTCATGTCGAAGAGTGGAATAAAGGCGGCCCACTCTGAGCTCCATGGCGATCCATACTACACGTGCTAATAATATTTACGCACGCCTTTAATCGAAGACCCTAACCCTTTCGTCGAATCTTTTTATCTATATATAATGTATAGTAAACCAATTTTAATCTACTTAATACCCATGTGTAATAGAGAACTAATCAAAGATATAGAACGCTTCAAAACCTGGTAGCACGTTCATCCGCACGGTCACACATGAACTCCAGTCTGAGGTATGTTAACATTACATTAATTTGCTATCATTTTTAAAGAATTAATAAAATTACGCTTATGAACCTCTATTTATCTTGCCCTCTAGGTACTTACTTCGCATGCCATAATACGAAAATCGCTCGCAGAATTCATTGCTGATGATGAAGAACACTGACTTCGGGTACGGGATTTCCTTGGCCTCAAAAGAAAAGAAACCATATAGGCATTTTGTTAACACATACACTTGCAGATTTTTTTTCTAAAAATACCTATAGTCCAATACATATACATAGTGTAATCACTCTCTCCAAATATTGACTCTCCTAAAGAGTCAATATAAATGTATTTATTTTTGTCCTGTTATATTTTTTTTGTCCGTTTATATACGGTAGAGTGAGGCTAAAATCTTTGCTATCTTTAAAAACAACTCGGGCTACAACGATGAATGAAACTATATCAGCGTATTTATCAATTCTTGTGTAACCCGAATAGGTTTGCCAAAAGTTGTCCATTCGGAAAAAATATCTATTATCGCTGGCCTGTATAATCCCGTAAGGTGGAGCTCTATGGGCCACTAATAAGGCCGTGCGAATAAACCAGTCATTTAATAAAACTAAGAAGAATTTTTTTTTCAGGACGGAACGTGATCATGACTAAGGAGGCCGATGGCTTACTCGCAGATTAGGCAGGTCAAATATGGCTGAAATTTCACTGGACGTTGTGAGGCTGGACCTTGAAAAACTAATATATCCACGTTTCGTTCGCGCAGTTTGTTCGACAAGTAAGGCAAATTGTAACAACACAGGTACCGTATTTCAAAGTAAAATGGGTGGCTTAGGTAAACAAAAATCCCCTCTAGACACAACTGTATGTGACATGTTGTTGACAACAACGGGATGTTGCTTTACTTGACATATATGTTCGGGCTATTTGAGCTGTACCCTGAGGCAACTTATGTTTTTTCAAAATTAGCAACACTAAATGCAATAGCCTCACCTTAGCAAGGCCCGCGTAGACCGCAGAATTGCCCTGTAATGGTTCAGTATAATCACTTATATAAAACGTAAGTTGTCTTTAGTCGGCCTTTGAAGACGTAACCTTGGGAGTGGCGAAGCCGTGGCTGGAAGACGAGCTGGTTACATCGTTTCTTTGTTGTTCAGCAAACATTCGATGGAATAAGAAAAGCATGTCTAGCTATCCCATATAATGGTCACTTTTCCAAGTTGATTGAATATAGAAAAATATAATTGCACTATTTGCGCTAGCTTTTTGACTTGTATTCTTTTTAATTAGTAGCATTAAAATTTCAAATTAACGTTCCTTGCCAGAAAGAAACGCAGCGGCTCATATGATTTCACCTTCATTTATTTATATAGTTTATTATTTAGGTGACAAAGGAGGCCAGTTTCATTTGTCAGTTCCTAGGAATCGGAACATACGCTCAATAAAAATTTTTAAAAAAAATGCTAAACTAAGAAAAAAAAAAGACCTTTAAAGCGAAATCTGCCCGATGGCATACATTGATGTCGATCTAGGGTCCGCTTTCGAAAAGGTAAGCTCGTAGAAAATAATAGTGAATGCTAAATTATAGACAGGCCAGTTCCACATGTTTCTGCCACTTGGAGGAAAATTCCGGATCGATTATTTGAAACTAAAAACGTTTACTTTAATTCTATTACTCTGAACGGCAGAAGTCGCTACATTATGACAAGCATGACTCATGTATAGATCCGAAATATGATAACTTATAGGTAGATTTTTTTCACCACCCTACCCTAACAAATTGCAATCTTGAATCCTCAAAGATAGCCTTACGAGAGAATAGAGATTATCGTATGGATTCTATCGCTCGTCACTGTACAATGTAAATATACAACATAGACATACCCTACAAAGATATTCATTTCTTATTTTTTTATGTTCCCATACTTCTAAAGTGCCGCGGTGCGAACCGAATCAGCTGACTCTGGTAATCATTCAATAATCTAATAACTAAACAGTACACGTTAATTTCTACTTTTTTTTTTTTTTTTACTGGTATTGGTGGCTGTATACGCCGACGATACATTGAAAAAAAGTCACTAGAAAAGCCACTTGCTTATTTAACAAAGTTACCTAGTAGAGCTGCACACGCAGTGCCACCCATTTGGCTCATTTTTGTATTGTTACTTTTGTCTGGCTTTAGAGATGAGGCAACTCACTTGGCAGACCTCTTGCTTTTACCTCTTGGTATGCTACTTTATGGTAGTCTAAACTAACGTAGAGAAATAATGGGTATTATAAAGAAAAAAAAAATAAATAAAAAAAAAAAGCTATATAACTGCTAATAAAGTTTCGTTCAGAAGCGTTACTCCAAATGTCTGGGCTTTCCGAGCTCCCACAACAATTACTACTACCACAGGGAATCGCTAACAACAAAAGTCAGTATTCGTCAGCTGAAGCTGCTGAGCTGCGTCATTTTACGCTACACGCTTCCGTGTTCCTTCGCGACGTCTGTCGCAGAACCGCACACAGACGCCGACGCATCCATCTGGGTCAGCTATCATAAGCCTAAATGTATGAACTTGTTTTTGGTAGTATTCGACATTGGAAAAAGCAAACGATAAAGGGAATGAGATGAGGAAAGGTGCAATCGTAACGGTCATCGCAATAGCAGTAATAAAATAGTGGTAGGGAGCGATCATCGCGCCGATGACAAAGACAGAGCTCTGGTCTTCGAAAAACGATTGGATATCTGCTGGTTACTAGCGACGACGACGACGACGACGACGACGACGACGACGATCACGACGATGTTTGCCTGGCGTTTCAGCGTCCGACCTTCGCACACGAAGTGAGCCAATCATGAAAGTTGAACAGATGCCTCATAGCATTAGAACGGGAACACCAGTTCAGTCAACGATACTGGCAAATAGTAAACGTATTTGCCACATGCATACATCATCAATATACATATATGTGCGTTCATTTTGTTCTGTGCACCCTCTCCTTCGTAGTGTATAACGCGTAGCAGGATCAGTGGTACGTTCTGTGTCTGTCTGTTCTGATTGTACAATACAATATTTCACAAATCGCTTATCCCAACGGCAAACGGGAGCAAAACACAGTGAGATTAAACGTATTCCATCCATCGGAGGCTTTCTTCCCGCCAGGTTTTAATAATAGGATGACGTGTGCCATGTACTTAAATGAAACGTCTTTTACTAACTACTGTGCTTACCTACGAGTCCATCTTTAGTAAATGAGCATTTTTTTTTTCATATCTTCACACAGAAAGTAGGCTCAAAGCGGCAAACGGCAGCCTAAAATTAGAGGCACAAAGAAGATGATGGATGTTGATGTTGTCTTATTTCCTTCGATTAACTTCAACTGAACGAAGTAGAAATAAAGGCGACTCCGAATCCGCCCTTCTGGAACAGATTCGTGGCAACAGTCGTGTAGAAACACGCAAACAAATACAGACCTTTGACATACGCAGACTTTTACTACTCCGCTTAAAAGGATGAAAGCCAGCCTAATTAGAATCTGAAGCCTATGAATAGCGATATTTATTGCGAACATTTGTTAAGTTCCAAGAGTGTGTTACCAACTAGAATTTACATTAACTTCAGCTAATCGTACGATATTGCAGATCAATGGTAAACCCATTACACTCAAGTACTGAACACTTACGCTGAACGCTAACTATGTAGCAAGACTCAAAACCTGGCAATACGTAAGTTTTAACGTAAGTTGACCGCCATCAAGTTCAATGCTATTTGGTCAACAGCTACATAATCAGTTTAACAATCGTTTATTTTAAAATAAGGTCCAAACATTGACATAAGAAAAATGGCCATACTGCCCAGTTCTTACAAACGTTAGGCGGTCACAAAGCCGCTACATCGAGGCGCAATGTAAAGCTTGAACTCATTCGAATATTTTTATCAGCAATAAATAAAAAAGAAATTCCCATAAATCACTATATAACAACGTGGTCATTGCATACTTCCCACGAGGTAAAAGAACTTTTTTTTAATGCATTAAGAAAATACCTGTTAAATATTTAAACATCGGTTGCCTATGTTTGGCCCCCGGAGATTTTCAAAGTTCGGGCTTACCATCTTAGACGTCCTCATAGACAGTTTGAGCCGTTCTTGAGTGAAACAAATACACAGTAGACGGATGTGGTAAAAGCGGTCAAGTTAATAGCAACAGAAAATTACAGGAATACGCTTTTCAAATTTGCTGAACAAATCGTAAATTGACTAGGATAGAAAACTAGCGTACTGCGTCTGCGAACACACATAATAAAGATATAGATTGTCACGTTAACCGAGCAAATAAATCCTCAGTTATTACTAATAATCGGGCTATTGCCCGCCTCATAATCGAGGTAACTACTTCTGATGCATTCTATTGCGCAACAACCTTGTATGTATTGTATGCCTTTTTTCACTATATAAATGCATATCTAACAACTAACTGGATAATCCATAATAATGCCACTCATATAGTATTTGTCTGTCCCACGTCCTGTCCAGCCGTTTACGCACCGCAGATTCGAGGGTCTCCATTCCGGGTTTACACGTTTCCGTTTTTGTTGCTTCCCAGTGAGTTCGTAAATTAAGCAAGTGATTCGGAACTGCCATGATGCTGCATTAGATGCGGGACTACGTAAACCTTGCACCAGTCTCTGACGGGGGAATGCCTCGTTTTCTATTTTCAGCGTACGGTATAGCTTGGCGGACAAAACAGTGTTGTCTCTCAGCACCCTAACAGCATGGCGCAATAGGCCAACGATTCAGGAGGTAGTAGAGGTAGCAACACCAACAGCCAGAAGCTAGTCCGTAACTTCAGGCTCTTGATGACCGTAATAATAGGTCGGAGTAGGCACCATAAACTCCATTTCTAAACAAATAGCTCGATTGGATGGCCCTCTCTTCCCTTTCTCTAAAACGACATTATAGAAGGGCCTTTACCACCTTCTCATCTGACCGCCTGTCCGTTTGCTAGCCCAGTTGCTAACATTTACCTCCATTTTAGAGGATCGCCAGAGTGCCAGCAGCCTACGCATCTATTCCAATAATTTATTCAATGCTGAATTATCACTTACCTAGGATAAAAAAAGCGCCCTCTTTCAGCCCACCCAACGGCATATATGGCGATCACTATTCAAGCTATCGTCCGACAAAAAACGCGTGGCTATATATATATCGTCTGTGTAGTTGATAAGAGAGTTGTGATTGTGGCGTACTGGTCACATGATTTAATATACTCCACCATTGTCGAGATAAAATCCCTACCTAACCGATTTACTTGTTAAAGATTTGAGTAAACCAAGCCCTAGCTAGTGGTTGCGTCCCTGATCTATTGAGCATGTAAATACAGTTGTCAAATACAGGCCGTTTTCTCTAAGCTTCCGTCATGTTCCCAATGATCTTTCCGTAATCTCGTCTAAATAGCCCTTAATCTAAACCCGCATCTTTTAACGTCCAAAAAGTCTATACAAATGGATAAATTTTACCCATAACTTAGTTGTTAGTTACTGAGAAATTTATGGTGGAATATCGAAGCTCATGTCGGCTAGCTTTGCAATCTATAGCGTTCTGAGTAACTGTCAAACCTACTAACACCTGAAAAGAGGCTTGTTGTGTTGTTTCATTAAACACAGTTCAATCATCTAAATGTGTTTATTCTCTTGAACATCTATATCTCTTGAACAATGCCCCCCTTTCCTTGAAAGCTTTCTTATCATAAAATGTAAAATGATAGTCAGCCAGCCGCATATGATTTTTCCGTTGATTGCAGCAATACTACTAACGAACAATAGGTTTGTTTAGATATGCTAAAGTAACTGGCAGAGTCGTTTACATGGCCAAAGTACTTGTAGACAGGTGCAAGCTTCGTCGAAAAAGAAAAACAAAGTGTCTATCCTACATTAGCCACAATATTGGGCATTTCTAGACTCAGACGATTTTTTAATTCGGCATTAAATAGGCACTGGACGAATACGCAAAGCCACTTTTAGCGAAGAAATACATATTTCTTAATAAAGTTGACGCTCATCGGTGCGTTCGCGGAATATCGTCACATAAAGCCACGTTTTTGTGGAGTTTTTTCGGGTATCTCTCACTGGATATCTCCTTTGTGTTGGATGATATAATCTGCAAGGTGTCTGTGCGATAATGCCAATTTAATATCTGAAAATCGTGGCTTTCGAATATTCTCTAGTGATTAAAGTATCATCCAATTAGGCCCTCCCCGAAAAAACCCACTAAGAAGCGAAATCATAATTCAAACAGGTATACAATGGTGCTCTTATATTGTTACTATAGACGATATCATTACTCTTTCTAGCGCATTTCTGCAAGGCTTTTCAATATGGATGCAAGTAGGGTTTTTTTTTATGTGGGCCCCATCTCGTTGAACCTATCACATATTAAGAAACGGTTTGAGTTACAATAAGACCCGTTTAATTGAGCTGCGCAACACGACTCAAGACTGAACATTATCCATATACTGTACATGCGTGTAGCTAGGATCAATGAGTAGAACGTACAAACGTATATCGTTATTGAACCGTAAAATGGCCGTTTTCTGTTCTCATGACGTATTCAAAGTTTAGACTATGCTTGCTGTTATCTTACACAGCCTATTATCACGTGCGAGGAATATATTATATTGGGAAGTGACACTTGTAGCGTGTCATATATATGTAGAAGTGCATCGCATGTTCGATACAAATGACATGATTCAAATAGAATTTCGCTTTTGTCGCGTAAATCGTACGCCGAGCCGACAGCAGCGCCCACTCGCGGCACAACACAGAAGTAGGGTAATGCTCAATCAAGCATACGAGAATGGTGTAAGCAGGACATTATCATAATCTGACGGTCGATTATAGAGCGTGGACGATCAGATGAGCACCGCAACAATGGGTGATCAAAATGATGACTTCACTGAGTATCACGTATTTTTCGTATGGAGATGTTATAAAACTCTTCTAATATGATAACGGTAGTGATTGATTTATGGATAAGTGTATATGCAGTTGTTTGGACGCTTTCTGAATCGGCTCTTCAAATGAACGAACAACGGTTTTCTGTACTACAAGTTATTGCACCGTCAACTAAAGATAATGTAGCCAATATAAACGACTCGTATATTTATTTACTGAATAAATATTACTAATAAGAAGACGAAATAATTTCGGGTTAGTGGAGAATCACTTGAAATAATTGAGAGCCCCGTTCTAACTATATGTAAGCCGTCCTAATGAGGTACTTGTTGAGCTTTAAATTAGTAACGCGTCGACAAAAGTAAAAAGGAATGCAATCCTGCTTCGATTAGAGCCTATGATTTCTATGGAAGGCTCAAGCGAACATACCAAAAAGGATGGGATAGCTTACAATCAGGGAATATCTTATGTGGCTCAAGGAATATATCATAAAACAGTATTAAATCTGAATTAAAACCTGAAGTGGCGCCTGTGCTATTCAAATGTTTACTAATCTCGTGCCGTCTATTGTATGCTTCCAGTACATATCTCTGCAGTTTGGCTTAAACTGCGATGAAAATATCTTTCGTGCTGAGCTACGTAACTATTAATGTTAAGTTCACAGTTCCCCGACGCGAAAATGGGAGCTGTATGTGGGCGCCAAACTCCCATTAAGAGTTATTCCATTTATCTCATTAAATGCCATTAAGAGACTAACAGTCTCTTAAGGGCATCAGGAGACTGGCACGCGAAACACATTTTACCGCTGCTTCGGCGCACTTGACGCCTCCCTTGTCGAATACGCAAGCACGTAAGAACGTTTGAGAAGTAAACGACACAA